AATGGAACCACCAACGGCGGCGATCCCACGTTACAGGGCTACGAGGTAAGATTCTACAGTTTGGGATTTGCCAAAGCTTGCAAAATTATTAAGTTACTTGTTTTGTATCAACAACTAAAGAAAAATAATATTGAATCGTATCTTGAAAGTTTATAGAATGTTTAAAATAGAAATAAAATCATTTATATTTTTGCATACATCTATAATGATAAATTAAAAAAAAATATATTGGACCATGAAATTAATGATCAATTTAAATTTAAAATATTCCTTCCCTAACCTATCCTCTTTATATTATTTAATTTGCAGTTTTGGCACCAGGACAAGGACAGCAGTCGCCTGGACTCCAGCTCGATCTTCGAGGACCTCGACCGCTACTGCTGGCAACAGCAGCCGGTCACCGCCAGCGCCAGTAATGGTGGATCCGCCAGCACCAACCAGCCCAGTCCCACATCGCCGCAGGGCCACCTCCAGCAACAGCAGCAGCAGCAGCAACACCAGCAGCAGCAACATCAGCAGTTGCAGCAGCAGCAACAGCAACCCAATGCGAGCAGCTCCTCGGCGGCCTCCAGTGGAGCGGGCAGCAGCAGCGACACGATCAGCAGCCTGGACACCACCGATGGCCAGATCTACACCCTGACAGTATTAAACGGAGGAGAGCCCTGGCTGAAGCGCTCGGAGGCGGAGCAGCTGCCCACCTCACTGGATCTGGACAGCTTGCTAGGCAGTTTTCCGGGCTACATCAAGTCGGAGTATCCCTACGACGACAGTGGTTTCAGTACGGATGGCAAGGATGTGATTGGCAATGGTACGGATGGTCTCAGCAGTATTTCCCAGGCCCAGAATCAGCAAGGTCAGCAGACGCAACAGACGCTGCCCTCGCTGGTCACGGCCATTTCCCTGGCGGGTGGCAATGATTTGGGCCAGCAGTTGGCCCAATTCCAGAATAACAACAACGACTGGCATATGGCGGATCATAATACGGAAACGGAGCAGAGTACGGCGGAATCGCTGCTGCGGAGTGCGCTGCAGGGCAAGGGCTATGCCAAGGGATTGCATATGCAGAATGGCCTGACCATGCCCGTGGTCAAGGATGAGGATATGCGAAGATTGCTCTTTGCAGATGAGGCAGCTGCCTTGGGTTTTGCCGACTCCACCTTAAGTGCCGCCCAGATGTTCGACGAGGCCCAGGGCATCCATCTAAGTTCCCAGCAGCAGCAACAGCAGCAGCAGCAACATAATGGCAATGCCAATATCCTGGTGGACGACATGTTCCTGTCGCTGGAGAATGCCTTCAGCGATGATTTCGAGAAGATCAAGAGGATAGCCAACGAAGTGCAGCAGTTTTGCAGTGCCGGCTCGGCTGGAACACCCACACCCGGGGATTATGGTCCACCCAGTGATGTCCTGATGCAAATCTCACCAAGTACGGCTGTCACAACCGCGGGTCAACTGCAACCACCGCAACCACTCAAACCGGAGGTCAGTACCTCCACTTCTCCACCCTCAGCGGTGGTGGTCTCCGCCGCCAGCAGCCATGTAAGATCCGGAGCAGGAGGTGGAGTCACCAAGCCCAAGAAGGCCTACAAGCGCAGCAGTAGCAATAACAACAATCCCAATGTGGCCAATAACAACCAGAGTAGTGGGACTAATCCCTTGATAGCTGGAAGTGGTAGTGGCAGCTCCTCGTCCAGCGGAAGTGCCAGTAGCAGCAGCAATAGTCCGCCGGCCAATTCCGGCGGCAGTTCGTCCTCCTCGTCGGGCAGTGCCCAAAGGAAGGAGCGATCCCTGCACTACTGCTCCATCTGCTCGAAGGGATTCAAGGACAAGTACTCCGTGAATGTCCATATAAGAACTCATACGGGAGAGAAGCCCTTTGCCTGCTCGCTGTGTGGCAAGAGTTTCCGGCAGAAGGCCCATCTGGCCAAGCACTACCAGACGCACATGACCCAGAAGAACAATGGGAACCTCATAAAAGGGGGTTCCGGAAAGCACCCACGATCCAGTGGCTCCGCGGGGGGATCGGCAAGTGCCTCACTTAACCAGAGACAGCAACAACTCACTGGAGGTGGAGTGGTGCCTCCATCGCTACCCGTGATGATCAGCAATCCCAATACGCCACCTGGAGGAGTACTGCCACCTGCCAATGGACTGCTCACCAATCGGTAGTGACCACCAAACTGGCAGCGGGGATTCCCCCCGACTTAACTATTTCTTGTTCCTTACTCACAAACAAAATACAAAATACCACAACACAAAAAATGAACAAATGTAGAGAAACTATTACTACTACTCGAAATACCTAAATACTCGTACACCCAACTCGAATTTACGTCATTGATGAATTCCTATTTCAGCTTTCTGTGCAATTCCTATATGCCCAAACACATACACAGACAGACAAACACTCGAAGCACTTCCAAATACAATACTCAACTTAATGTACATTTACACAAACAAATTAAATTTAAATGTGCCAAATTTTGAAGATTTTAATTACTAAAGTTAAATACCTACTACTAAAATATATGAATATGTATGCTAGGCGTGTAGAAATAGAAGTGTAACGATGCTAATGAAGCAATTCCACGAGTGGTGATATCAAAAAGAGGCCAAACGCTTCCTTGCTAAAAGAGAGAATTTTGTTTTAAAGTCCCCAAAACTAGAATAAATATGATCTTTATTCCGAGTCTCCTAATCACCCGCAGTTCTTCAGAATGTTTCCTGTAAATTAAAAAAGTATTCGTTTTCTTAGTTGCTCTGCCCAAATTAGCATAAATTTGTTTGCTAGTGTTAATGTATATAATATATGTTTGCCTAAATAAAATTAGTTTTGTTTTTAATTATAAACAAAAGCAGAGGGAATGCCAAATATTTGAGGGAGGAACACTGACCTGAGGCGCTAAAAATTCGAAACGCATCCTCCAGATACGGAGCTTATCCTACACTAAATTCCCGCTCCTTTCTCCTTCAAGGATCTCTTTGATCTCTTGGGCCGAGTGTTAGCCAACTTCAAAGGCATTCAAAATAAAAAAGGGGGGAGCATAAGCATTACTTTACCATCTATAAGTACGTTTACACACCATATGTTCAGCAAACTCAACTTGCACTTGCCATTATTTTTGTATTTGATAAACACAAGGCGAATTCCCTATAATTAAAGATTAAACACCACACAACACATTCCCCCCAACTAGTGTATTGCATAGGCTAAGCTAACTGATAAATCAGCCGTAGTTAGTGGTTAATTAAACTGCCAATTATTTTGTGATAGTTTTTAATGGACAATAGTTTAGATTACGCAAAAAATATCTTCAATGGTGTTTGGGTTATGTAACGTTTTAACGATTTGTTATAAACTGTGTACACTTTGCAATACGAGTATTTTCTGCTAATTTATTGAACTTCATAGTTTATGTACATAGAGAACGAACCTTGTTTATATCCAAGCCTAGGCTAAGCCACACATTGAAATCTTAGTTAAATCTTTGTTAGTTATTATTTATGCACACACAAACAACACACACACACACAAAAAAAAGCCACACACACAGACACACAAGAAACACACATCATTCTGCAGTTAAGTTTTGCATTAATTTTTTTAGTATTGCAAGCATTAAAAATAAAGAAATCTAAAACGTTTTATTGACAATTAAGATGCGCCCCGTGTCCGCTGTTTGGGTCTGTTGTGGGTTAATTAGTTTTAGCTCGTTACGGCGATGGAGATGGGGCTGGCAGATGGGTCTTAGCCGGGGTCTGAAATAATTTTCTCCAATAAAGGAGCTGAGCTCACATGAAAGCGCATGCAGCTGCGCATGTCAACAACGTATTGCAACTGCAGGAGCAACACTGCAGCAGCAGCAGCAGCAAATGCAGCAGCAACTGCAACTCCGGCAGCAGCAGCATCAGCAGGCAGGCGGCACTTGTCAGTCAAAATCAAAGTACCCGGCCCCAGACTGCCGGCATCGTTTGGCGGGGGGCTACAAATGCGTGCCATCAGCGCAGATTAGAGAAAATTTTTCACTCCACGATCGGTGAAACACGACTTGTGCACTGCTAAAAAATGAGGGTATATTTCGGATATCACTATATCTACGGTGTTACAATCCAACACTTTTGTGTTTCCTGAAATTGTTTTAAAAATCAAAACGCGAATTCTTTAGATTTTCTACGAAATCATTTTGGAACCTTTACTAAAAATAATGAACAAGTATCAATTCTTATTTTCAGATTGCCTAAAATGTTTAAAAAATTAAACGCGAGTTCTTCAGAACATCTATAAAATCCTTTAGAACCAATATGAACATTGACTTATTACAAATAAAGACTTCTAGGATACAGAGATACATTTAAACGAGAGTGTTGAAACTAAGCAACCGAAGAATTGATTTATTCTCTCTACGCATTAAAAAGTAAAGTAGATCTTGGTTTTAAACTTTCAGAGCAACAATGATCTAGTTTTTTTTTCTGTGCACCGCTGATGGTGATGCCTCGACTGCCGGCCCGTCGTTTGAGATCGAAACATGTCGATTAGGGAATTTCAAGAGGCGCCAGTTGCCGTCGCACAGGTGGCTAACATCAGCGCACCTTTGGGGGAGCTCAAACACTGGGTATTCGGTGTTCAGTGTTCAGTTTTCAGTGCTCAGCTGCCACTGCGGCAAGCACGCGTCTTAATTGCTTTTGATGTTGAACTTTGAGCCGGCTAGCTGCTGTGCAAATATTTGCACAATGGAAATCGGGAACATCCGATCCCCGAGTGGGCTAAACGAAACGAAAGGAAAGTCATATTTGATGGCTACACAAATAACCATAAAGCAGCTGGTACTGTGAAACAACTCTAGCTTTACTCTAGTCATTAAAAAAAGCAAAGGCTCCCTTGCTTTTCGGACAGCAAACCCTTTTCAACTAACCAATATCGATAAATGTTTACTGTTTTTAGCTATAATTTTACGGTCATAAAGTCAATGGTCTTTTAGATTTAAAACGGCGGTACTCTTTTATTTTTGGTCTCGAAAAAATAACCGTCGTGCGAAAAAGGGCTTAGTTTTAAGTCTGTAGGCTAGGATTTCTAGTAGCCAAACCAGGGAGGAGAATACTACCATGAAGGAAAATCCATACCATACATATTGCAGATCCTGGATCTGCATGGCCCTAAACTCCCGATGAGGACTTAGGTCCACAAAATGCATTTCACCCGCCTCTATAAGTTCTGTGAAACCTGTGGTAATCCAGTGAAAAGTTAGTCCTGTTTCGGCCAACTCCATGATCAACTTAAGCACGGGTTCCATAAAAACAGAGTTCTCGTGCAGAGGAAATCCGAAAGGTATGTTGTTGAAAAAGCAAAAGTCATCACGCTTTTGAAAGAGAGGTCGTGAAAATACCTTTTGCTGCTCGTTGATCAAAACCCACCTATTAGTGGCGATCATGTAACCGTATCGCGTGTCCATCGAGTCCCGAAGAGCAAGATATCGATTAAAGTCGGGTTCTACTAAGAACATGGGTTCGTACTTCCTGAACTCCAAAAGACGGCCAAACAGCTCCGCATACTCCGGCTTCCAGGCCACCACTTTGACTTTAGAGGCTAAGATATCATCGTAACTTCTGAAGGCAGGCTGTTTTGGAGCAGTGGTAACGTAGCTGGAGAAATATGAGTTGTACCAGGCGGTGATTAGGATGCCCAGCACACAGATCTCCAGATAAATACCCCGCACAAGGGCGGGAGCTCGAAAAACTTCCACAAAAGACTGACCCAGCACTCCTCTTAAGCAGCTGTCGTGGAGCAGAAACTCACTGATCCTAGTCGTGTATCCATGGAGACGCAAAGCACTGGTCAGGAGTAAGGATATTATCACAAGGGCTCCTAAAGTCAGCAGAAAGGCAGCCAGCTCAAAAACCCTGGTATAATACTCGAAAGGTGGTACATCCGCCTCCACGGGCAGCATTACACACCAGTTCATCTGCTCATAAGGGTAACTGAAACCATATGGAGGAATCGTTGGGAAAGTCAGGGATATGGAAATCTCCACTGTTTCGTTTCGCACTGCAGCAACTGTTTGCATCGAGGGCGCAAATTCCAATTGATTTGTGTTCCCCAAGGGCTGAACAAATTTCACATTATACTTTTGTTGAAAGGCCATCATGAAATGACCCACTGTTCCCTCGTAGACCATAATACCCTTTTTATTACGGTAGGCAATCATACGTGGTGCGGTTCCTCCAAGAATCACGGGCATCTCGTAGCCATGGAAATCTTTCAGACGATCGGGAAAAATTAATGAAGATGGCAACCTGGACTCGTAGACCCGCTCTTCTATTTGTAGTATAGGAAAATGTGAGTAGCTGTAGAAGGTTGAGGTTGCCTGTGATTACCAAAAAAAATAATTATTTTATTAAATTTAATGTCTCCTCACCCACCTCAAAATCCTTGAATATAACCACAACATTCAATAGTTTCTTTCGCCAACAATCCCTAAACAATATATAAAGCACATCACTTGAAGCCTCTGATTGTATAAGAAAAATCACTCTGGAAGTCGTCATATGTCTGAGATTTCCAACCAGAGCTTTGAGCAGACCTCCATGCTCGTCCAGATTTTCATTACTTAAGAAGACCAGGGACAGCAAACGTCTGCTGATTCTGTTGTGTAAGAAGTAGCTCACATTTTCGTCCAGTTGAAGGACAGGCACTTCTATTGTTTCCATAATATCCATCGCTATAGTACTTGCATTCCAAACTTGATCTGGCACACTAAAGTTCCTGTTCTTCATGAGCAGCACGTACTCAAAGTCCGATTCCAGCTTTATCCTACCCAGTAATTCAATTACCGTTGCGCCACCGACCAAGCTAATCAGACAAAGGCCGCTCAGGATCCACATTGGGCAATCCATCACGATGGTCGAGGGACAACTGCATGACACTGATTGATGCCGCTGCACATTTAAAGGGTTGCTAATGAATCCGCCGACGACGTGGCTAATGGTTAATTCCAATTAGCAGCACACGTTAACAAGCCGCGGGCGAAAAAAGAAAACCAAAAAACATTTCCCTTGGGATTACAGAAAAACAAGTGAAATCATTTGAATCAGACATGTTTGGTTGGGAAATTAACACCAAGCACAGGGTTTTTTGTAATTATAATAATAAGTGCAGGGTTTGGATACAATCCTTAAAATTAAAAATGTTGCTTACAAAAAAAACACCAACTATTTTTTGTAAATGACAAAAAATTTTGTGATATTTTATTTTAAGAAAAATTGAGTGACATAAAATTTTATTTTAGTTAAATATTTTTTTTTTATTTTTACTTTTTACGGGAAAAAATATCTCTTAGTTTTGACCAGATCCTATGTCGCCAAAAGCAAATCAACTCAAGCACAAATACGAAAGTGGCCAGGCCAAGCATATATCCCCAACATCGCCAGATCTTTTCCAGGTCCTTCAACTTCATAGCCCGAAATTCCTTGGGATGACCTCGATCGACAAGTCCCAATAGTCCTGCTTTGATCATTTCAGTAAAGGCCATATCTCGCCAGTGGCTAAGAAGTCCTGTTGCAGTCACATCCAAAATAAGACGATCCAAAGGTTCCTTGAATACCGTGTTATTCGCTATGGGAAATACTATAGGGATCGTACGAAAAACGCACAGATCCTCCTGCAGACTAAATAATGGCGAACTGAACACCCTTTGCTGCTCCTTCATCAGTGACCACTTCTCCATTGGCATCATGTAACCATATCTGGTGTCGAAGGAATCCCGCAAATGCAAGAACTCCTCGTAGTCCTTGTGCAACTGAAAGATGGGCGAAAACTTCTTCATACTTTCCGACAAGTGGAGCAACATTTCGTATTCCGGTTTCCAGATCACAACTTTTGTATTCGATCGCTTGATGCTCTCATAACTGCTGAGGGCTGGTAGTCTTGGAGCGGTGGTCACAAAGGTTGAGAAGTACGAGTTGTACCAGGAGGTAATCATCAGTCCGAGTACACAGATCACCAGGTATATACCCCTCACCAAGGGCGGGGCTCGAAGGACCTCGTAAAAGGTCTGCGAGAGGACACCCCTCAGGCAACTGTCATGTAGAAAGTACTCACTAAAGGTTACTCTGTAGCCATGGAGCCGAAGAGCCATTGATAAAGTCAATGAAACAATCACCATGGCCAGGAGAGTGATCCAAAATGCCGTGGGGCTAAATACCATGCTATAAAGCTGACTTTGAGGAACCTCTGCTGGCAATGGCATCATGAGGCACCAGCTCAGCAGTTCAAAAGGGTATGAATATCCGGTAAACGGAGATAGAGCATAAGTAGCCGCCAGTGCAATTTGGGCACTACCATTTCTCACGGCCACAATGAGTCCCCGAGACGGCGTAGTAACTGACTCATTAAAAGGATGTGGTTGAATCAATCTACAATTAAATCGCTGTTCAAAGCTGAGCATAAAATTGCCCACAAGTCCTGAGAATATCAATTTCCCGTCCAAGCCACGATAGACAATCAAACGAGGGGTAGATCCTCCCAATACAATGGGCATTCGATAGCCATGAAGGTTTTCCAAACGTGATTCGAATATTTTGGTACTATTATCCAATCGTCTTTCAATGAACTGCAAGATGGGAAACGGTGTGTAGCTGTAGACAATCAAAGACTCCTGAAAAAGTATCAGAAAAAACAAACAGGGCGTGTGATTAATATTTCAAAGGCAAATACATATATTTTTTAAACACACTCAATAATAAATTATTTCTCAGTTATGTATTTGATTGTACTTTTCCAAATATTAATTTACTTGATGGGCATTGGGAATTCTCAAGCACGCCGCCAAGGTATATATCCTTATTTAAAAAACATTTAGTGACTAAATCTTTTGCATTATTAGAAAAATGTACATTTATCGCAAATCCTGGACCTTGCAAGGGAAACTATGAAATGTTTGCCTATGACTTTACTAACAATCGTTGTGTGCAATTTACCTACGGCGGTTGCGGTGGAAATCCTAATCGCTTTCACACAAAGAAAGCGTGCCAAGTTGTTTGTGATGCTCTACCAGATGAAGAAGATGAGCAGGATTTTTTGTCGACGGAAAAAATTAAAGTTATAACAGAACACCCACAAACAAGTAAAGAAAAAACAGAACCGAATGTAATTCCATCAACCGTAAGAAAAAAAGTCACTTCAAAAATGGAAAAAGCTATGGAGACTTCAACATTGAAAGAAAACGTTATCGAATCAATAGAAACCTTTACTCTCTTTAATTTTAAGCTATTTAATTAAATAAATAACAACAGCTCACCTTGAAATCGGGTCCGATAGCCACGACATTAAGTAATTGATGGTTCCAACACCATTCCAACATGGGATATACTCGCATTGTCCTTTTACTAAGAACCAAAAGCACTGGCCGAGTATTTAACATTCGTAGATTTATGTGTAAGATATCTAGTACTTCCTCAGGGGAATCATTAAGAAAAGCTATTGCGAGAACGTTGTGGGAATGATTTTTTCCCAAATTATAGTCTACCTTATGACCCTCTTCTATTTGGATTACAGGAACTGGAAAATGCCACAAAACCTCCAGCCAAATTGGATCCGAGTTGCCCAAAAGCAGGGCATATTCAAAGTTAAGCTCACTTTTTAGGTGATGAAGTAAATTATGAATAGAGCAATCCCTGACGGGACCTAAGACAACGAAAGTGAGTAACAAAAGGTGCAACTGACCCATTTTGAATGAAGGAATGATTTTCCAGTTCCACCTTATATGTTGGTTCCACAGTTTCGATTAACTTCTCTCAGGGGAAAGAGGTGTCGCGTCAAACTTTTGATTTATTTCACTCATCACGAGAGGTTTTTGTAATTCGCTTACAATGCCATTATAATGGCGTCTTACTAATAAAAAAAATATTAATTTAATTGAAAACAAAGTTAATTTCCTTAAAGCTACGTCATATACCGGGTTAACTCAACGTATTTTTTGTTCTCGGGATATTCTTCGCTAGTGGAACACAGATTTTTGTAATCCTCGTCGCGTTCCTTGCAGAATACACCTGGGTTTTTGGCGACTCTGTAGATGGGAGCTTCAAGGATGTTTACGGTGGCGAAGGTGCAACTTAAATACAAATAATTGAAGCGTTGGTAAGAAAACTTTACTGCTGCACAGCCCATATGGGTGTTACGATCGGCCATCAAAAGTGCAGGTCGAAATACGGATCTATATAAAATAATACCTTTTGATCAAATAATCAATCTTAAGCGACCATTAAATCAACTTACCTTTGATCACTGCGATCTTTTAAGAAGATAGTTTGTTGGCGGGTCACAAACCGTCCCTCCTTTGTCCACTTCGATACCATGTTCATTATACGGCCTAAGCTCTTTTGTTTGGGACCCATATAGCCATCGGTATCGAAGATGCTGCCAATGTTGGGAAAATTCGGGGAAGTCATGCAGGGACGTGGAGTTGGCATGCAGCTCATCACGTCCATTTTGGCAAAGTACTCTAGTTCATCGGACCAAGAAATCCTGACCATTCTACCGGCGGGGTAAAGGGTTCGGGTCAGACCCTTGGCCGCTCTATTCCTAAAGTCATTCACCCTATGCAGCAAAGTATCCTTTTGTGTACTGCTCAGATCTACCAGTCTTGTACTGCGACGGCAAATGAAACTATAATTCTACGAAAATAAAAGACAATATTATATTGATTTTATTATATAACTTTTTCTTACGGCTTTTTGGCAGACTATATTGTTAATCCCGCAATAGGGCAGATCACAGTAGGCTTTGTGGTCAATTTGTAAAGTCACAAAACCCATTATAGATCCCATTAACAGCACTATCGACAACATTGATGAAGACATCTTCGCTTGGGCCTCTATAACCAACTAAAGACGCCCACACAGTCGTTTGGCTTTTTAAAGACGGCTTAAGTGGGTATTAAATTCCTTGAAGCCGATACCTGCATAAAAACGTTCGGTTATTGGTTATTTGATATCCGCAATAAACTATAGTTATTTCAGTGGCGAATAATGAGTACGGGAAAATTCTGGTAGTCAAATGACTCGAAACTTTTCGATAAATTTGATGGTGCCAGTAGTTTCAGCCTTAAACGCAATGTCTGGCCAACTGAACATTTTTCCGAGACTTTGTACGCGTTTAAGATACCGTTTTTCACAGTGGGCGAAAAGGCTTTAACCCTATTTTGCCACCATACAAATATTTCAAAATGTTAAAATATTTAAATTAAGACAATGGACACATTTTTTTTTAACTCCTCGGTCCATTCTGAAGCTATTGGGCATACGAAAATCTTGGACATGAAAATGGGTTAAAATTTTGACCGTCGCTTAAAACATATATTTTAATGTAGAATGTTAGCGAATTTAACCACAAATTCAAAATGGTATCCCACTTGTAAATCGGGATACATTAACTCAAGTTATGGGATTTAGAAGCTCAGATCTTGGGTTCCCATTCTGGACCCCATTGGAAAAACGGAAAAATCGAACATTAAAATGGGTTAAATTGCGACACTTGCTTAAAAGATATATTTAAATGTAGAATGTTAGCGAATTTAACCACAAATTCAAAATGGTATCCCACTTGTAAATCGGGATACATTAACTCAAGTTATGGGATTTAGAAGCTCAGATCTTGGGTTCCCATTCTGGACCCCATTGGAAAAACGGAAAAATCGAACATTAAAATGGGTTAAATTGCGACACTTGCTTAAAAGATATATTTAAATGTAGAATGTTAGAGAATTCAACCACAAATTCAAAGAGGTATCCCACTTGTAAATCGAGATACAATAACTCAAGTTATGGGATCTAGAAGCTAAGATTTTGGGTTCCTATTTTGGACCCCATTGGTAATACGGAAAAATCGAACATGAAAATTGGTTAAAATTTCGACCCTCGTTTAAAAGATATATTTTAATGCAGAATGTAAGAGAATTCAACCACAAATTCAAAGAGGTATCCCACTTGTAAATCGGGATACAATAACTCAAGTTATGGGATCTAGAAGCTACGATTTTGGGTTCCCATTATGGACCCCATAGGAAATACGTAAAAATCGAACATGGAAATGGGCTCATTTTTCGACTTTCGCTTAAAAGATATATTTTAATGCAGAATGTAAGAGAATTCAACCACAAATTCAAAGAGGTATCCCACTTGTAAATCGAGATACAATAACTCAAGTTATGGGATCTAGAAGCTACGATTTTGGGTTCCCATTCTACCCCATTGGAAATACGTGAAAATCGAACATGGAAATGGGCTAATTTATGGACTCTCGCTTAAAAGATATATTTAAATGTAGAATGTTAGAGAATTCAACCACAAATTCAAAGAGGTATCCCACTTGTAAATTGAGATACAATTACTCAAGTTATGGGATCTAGAAGCTCAGATTTTGGGTTCCTATTTTGGACCCCATTGGTAATACGGAAAAATCGAACATGAAAATTGGTTAAAATTTCGACCCTCGCTTAAAAGATATATTTTAATGCAGAATGTAAGAGAATTCAACCACAAATTCAAAGAGGTATCCCACTTGTAAATCGGGATACAATAACTCAAGTTATGGGATCTAAAAGCTAAGATTTTGGGTTCCCATTCTGGACCCCATTGGAAATACGTAAAAATTGAACATGGAAATGGGCTAATTTTTGGACGCTCGCTTAAAAGATATATTTTAATGCAGAATGTAAGAGAATTCAACCACAAATTCAAATAGGTATCCCACTTGTAAAACGGGATACAATAACTCAAGTTATGGGATCTAGAAGCTCAGATTTTGGGTTCCCATTCTGGACACCATTGGAAATACGTAAAAATCGAACACGGAAATATGCTAATATTTCGACCCTCGCTTAAAAGATATATTTTAATGCAGAAGAGAATTCAACCACAAATTCACAGAGGTATCCCACTTGTCTAACGGGATACAATAACTCAAGTTATGGGATCTAGAAGCTCAGATTTTGGGTTCCCATTCTGGACACCATTGGAAATACGTAAAAATCGAACATGGAAATGGGCTAATATTTCGACTATCGCTCAGATTTTGGGTTCCTATTCTGGACCCCATTGGAAATACGTAAAAATCGAACATGGAAATGGGCTAATATTTTGACTCTCGCTTAAAAGATATATTTTAATGTAGAATGTTAGAAAATTCAAACACAAATTCAAAGAGGTATCCCACTTGTAAATCGGAATCTAATAGCTCAAGTTATGGCATCTAGAAGTTGAGATTTGGGTTCCCAGTCTAAAAGCCTTTGGAAATTCGGAAAAATCGGACATGAAAATGGGTTAAAATTTTGACCCTCGCCTAAACGAAAAATTCGAGTGAAAAAATTTAGATAATTCAACCACAAACTCAAAGAGGTATCCCACGTCTAAGTCGGAATCAAATCGCTCAAGTTATGGAATCTAGAAGTTGAGATTTGGGTTCCCAGTATGGAAGCCTTTAGTAATACGTAAATCTCAGACATGAAAATCTTTTAAAACTTTGACCTTCGCTGAAAAGAAAAACTTTAATGTAGAAATTTAGAGCATTCAACCATAAACTCATAGAGGTAAGTTCCTATGAATCATGGAAAATAAATTCTTTAGCTTAATTAATTTTATGACATATAAGTTATAACAAGTCCATAAATTGTTAATTTCAATGAATGCGAAACAATAGCGAGGCTGAAACGGGGCACAAATCTCATTCATATGCGATCCGCCTGACAGATGATCGCTTTTAATGATGCTGCCAACAACGGCATCCACTCCGCTCATTATATTTTTCAAGCATTTATATGTTTTGGTGCACTTCACTGGATTTGGCTGATGCGTCAGCACTTGACCCGCACTCAGCCCCATCTGGTGGATCCCCCGGATCACCATCCTACGATTCCCAATAGTCAACTGTGTCCCATGCTGTTGTCCGCCAAATTGAGTTGACGTTGACGTAATGCCCCGCCACTTGAGTAAGTCTCACTCACTGGCTTTTTTTTTGGCTTTTGTCATTTCTGGTTGCTGCTTCTGCTTTTTTGGTATTTTTTTGATGAAGTGCATCATCGTCTGGGGCTGGTCAATTAGCTGCACATACCGCGTATCTCGCACAAAAAGAGTGGCAGCGTGGAAAGCTCAACATGGCAGGGCTGGTTTCTTATTTTTTTGTCATCGGCCTTTATCTCTTTTGTTTTTGGATTTTTGTATTCATCTGGAGGTCACGTAGAGTCTTTAATTGGCTGGCCTGGGCTGCGTATGCGATGTCAATTTAGCGAGAAGAGCCCCAAAGTTCATAAGTGCCCAGGCGCATTCTTATATAGTAATCTTTTGCAATGCAGAAACTTCACTTAACCCACTTGCAGAACATGGCGACAACTGGAGGTTATTTGTAAAGATGTATTCATTACTTGAGGAAGATTTTTTGAACATTAAAAAATCCACTAATAAAAGAAGATAAAGTACATCTGTAGGTTTATTTTATTTAAGCCGCATACTTTAAAGGATTAATATCAAAAATATTACAAAGCTTGTTAACTTACTTGTAATATCGCCATTGGCGATGTTAAATAAAAAATGAAGTAAAAAAGATTTTTTCAACGCGTTTCCTAATTACCCTTGTTGAAAATGCCATAAAGCCAGGAGAAAAACTTTTTATGATCAGTGGCTATCGTAAAAGCGATAACTCATTTGCATAGTGAGTCGACGACCCACTTTCCGTCGCAGATCGCCTGGAGTGTCCTTACTCCTGACACCGGCACCCTGGTAATTGTTTCTCAGCCCCGAAACTTCCTGGACCGCTCAGCCAGAGATCATGGCCCCGTTCCATTCGAATAGAGGCAGCGACACTGCCCCCAGGAAAGTAACTCATATTCGGGTATGTGGCTAAAATGCACAAACTGGAACCGTAACCGTAATGCAAGTGATCGTACATCCGACTCTTTGGGGGCTTTTGTTGTCCAGTTGTTTTCAGTTATTGTTGCTGGCCACGAGACATGCACGAGCCAACTGTAACTGCTACCCCGAATGCCCCAAAATCCCCCGAACTCCCTCATAAGCCAAACGAAAGCCTAACCAAAACGGTAGCCTTTTTGGGGGACGGGTCCCGACATAACCACCAGTACAGAGATTCAGTCCATTGAAAAGCGAAAGATGGCCAAATGGAAATGGTGAAAATGGCAAAAGGCCAAAAGCGGACTGACAAAATATTTTCGCATATGATAAATGGCACAGTTTAAAGTAAGTCGAGCACTTGCAATTGTCCACGTCCAGGCGGCACACAATGTAAATTTCCACCGCTGACCATTTGCGCCAGTTTTTCCCGAAGTTGCGGCTAATGGTGCCACACTAAACATTGCCACAGCCATAATCTTGGCATTTTTCGCTAGGTCGCTGTTGGCCGAGTGCCTGATTTATGAAAGGGCCTCATAATTTAGCACAAATATGGTCATAACTTTTTGGCTTTTACTTTTTGGGGCCAGGGAGCTGCTAATGAAGCAGCATCGTCAGTTGCCGCCAGAAACTGAAAACCAAAATCTGGCTAAGTACAACAAAAAATAGTCGAAGCAAAACAAAAGTAGCCAGAAAACTTACAGACTGAAACTCATTTAAGTGGATGGCCTGCCGATGGCCACTTGTTGCCATCATTTCCTAGCAATCAGCGGCGAACGTGTCACTCCTAACTGGCCAGGAACTGACCAAATCGAGGTACACAAAGCAAAACAAGGACAGCTAATTACAAACAGCTTAAAACATATTTAGATTTGAATATACCAAGAAATTCGTAGGTAGTTTGAAATTGAAGTTTGAGAAGTCAAAAGAAAGTACGAGGTTATAAAAATTGTTTATAATTTCTAAAACATT